TTTGAAAATAGCGATTCCTGCTCGGTTTTTTGAGGTCAGAAAAAAAACCACACGTTCTAGCTCAATTCTGACAGTGGATTTGAATTCAGCAGAGTCTTTTACATAAAAATGTACTATTTGATGTGGAAATAATTTTTTTTCCAAATTTTCCCAGTAAATTTTCATCAATTTTCACTATTTTTCACAAGTTTTTTGAGGTTAGGAAAAAATTGTGACGTGATGGGCCAATTCTGACCCCAGATTCGTGTTCAGAAGGCCAAATTACTACGAAAAATATATGTCGCATAAAAAGTATACCCAACTTTTTTTTTTCTGTGTGGCTGTGATCAGTTGCTTAATAAAAGTTGCTTATTTTCGTGCCCTCTGTCTACCTTTTCAAGGAACGTACTGATTTTAGAAACACCCTATATATTGGTTTACAAGCTTGGCTATCAGATAAGTCAAAGTAAGGGCTGACGTTTGCCCACAAATGTTGACTTTTGTAGGCCGTAAGACTCCAGGGGGATTACGATCGACGCCTTTAGATCTGACAATTATTATTATTAATTAAATTTAAGCAACGAATTGCCTCATTTTGAGGCACCTTTTCTTAAATTTAATGGCGTTGATAGCCTAACTTCCCTTGAAATGTCAACAATTAAAATGATCCTTTTGTTCTTTATATCTAATACGGAAGATTTCGAATTCAGTACGCCATCTATCGTTTTAAAATTAAAATAAAATACGCCATCTGTTGGTTGCCACCTCGCTCGTTTCAAAATTTACCAAGGGAATGAATGGCTGATACGATTTGAGTTGGTAGCCGCGGCTTATGATTTATTAATAGGAATTTCGACCCGCAACGAAATAATCCCGGTACAATAATAGCCGCAATTAAAATTAACCGCCCCATTAGCTCGAGTTAAGCCCGCATTCCACATTCTAATCAGTAGTGTGTGCTTTTAAAATAGTTGGAATGGAACCAAGCGTCGATCTGAATTTTCGTTATCTCCGAGTGTCCCTCGAGGAGCGCTCAATGATGTCGATGAACCAGATGCCTGTTAATTATTAGTTTCGAAATTTATTCCCAGAGTTAACAAGCGCCCTGGCACTAATTGGAAAGCATTTTTCTCTCTAGAACTTGTTCGAAGTTATGGACGCATTAACAGATCTGGATAGTAAACAGTTTAATAGGCCTTTTAAAGTGACTTTACACGTACGTCGCGAAGTTTTGTGGAAAAAAACATAAACACAGAGGTCGGCATACGGTGATCTCATTACTTAATAAATATTGATTATTTTTTTATGCTATTAAAAATTCTATTTGTTTCTTTGATTTATAAATGGTGTATGATTTCATTATTTTTGTGATGTCTTCATCGTGATCGATTGAATGAGTCATCGCACATCTTGGTAATATTCTCATAATTTTGAAATTTGTACTGCATTGTACGGAGTGTTTCAAATTTAACACTTCGGTGTTATCAAAAAATGTTGTAAAGACGTAATATACAGAGTGTTTATTAAGTAGTTGTATAAACTTTGAACATTCACGCAAAACTTTGTGAAACTGGCAGTTTTAAAAGGACAACAGATATCCCAGGCAGCCCTGCGACAGTTCGAACAGTTGAGATTGAAGAAGCTGTGTTAAATAAAATTGAAGAAGACTCTCAAATTAGTACATGAAAAATATCTCGTTAATTGAATATTACACACACACACATGTAACGTGTGCAGGCTCTATTTATTACCTAGAGACCTAGATATTTTCCCCTAAGAGTAGATTTATGCATTTGGTTGCATAATAAATTATTAAGAACCCCGGATTTTTTAAACCATGTGGTTTTCACAGACGAAGTTTCGTTTTCTCGACATGCCATCATTAACTTTCACAATAACCATATCTGGGTTATCCCAATGCTATCACAGAAAATTATTTTCAAATACAATTTTCTCTAAATATTTGTGTTGGAATTATCGGTGATCACCTTCGAGATCACCTTATTGGACCTTGCATTCTTACATAAAGACTTACTGGCGAAGAGTACCGAAGGTATTTGGAGCATGATCTTCCTGAACATTTAGAAGAAGTTGATTTAGAAACCAGAAACAGGATGTGGTGATGTCGTCAATTTGTGGACGAGAATTACTCTAACCTTTGGATAGGAAGAGCGGGACCGCAAGCCTGGTCTCCCAGATCACCAGATTTCACCAGTCCAAGATGAACAAGATCTAAGAAACAGGATATTTGAATCGTGTGCCATTATTAATCAGATACCAGGTATATTCGAAAGACTTTGTCAATCAATGTTAAGGCAAATTGATGCATGCGTTGCAGTAAGGCGGCGGTCATTTTCAGCAGTTATTGTAAATGTTATCAACTTATTTGTAGAAGTAGTTTAGTCTCGTAAATGATATATATTCCTCACATTGCAATACAATTAATAAAGACACATTTTTCACTTGTCTTTCAAAAACTCTTAAGGAGGTTTATCGGGTACGGATGTCCGTCTAAAGTCTAACGAAAGTTTCTGTAGATTCGCTAGTGACCAAAGTAGAAAGCCTTTAGATTTGGCAACGTTGCACTTGGCTAGCGCACTCGGCTCGGCGTTTGCTCGCTCTCGTTCGATCATTCTGTTTGTTTGGACACCTGCGAATTTAAAATAATACGCTACATCGAGACCGCGGTGTTGCCGCTATCACGCATATGGAGGATAAGTTAGTCAACGACAGCAGTTTCAAAGAGAATTATTATAAATTATGTATTATATCTTACAAGTACCTAATCGATTTCTACAAGCTGTCATACGGTTCCTTAGATATCGGATTTCCTATTAAGTTGCGGTGGAAACTGTTCGTCAATTGTTGCGCATTCTAAGTGGAAAGACCAAAAAAATCTGCATTCTCATAAGACTCTTACTAAATCGTGAAAAATTATTTTATTAATATCTCGTCTCTTAGATATCCAAACCAATAATTTTTTTTTGAGGATTTTCTTCATATTAATAAGCTTATATTAATTTTTTTATGAATATTTGTTCGTCAATTCCAAATCAGATAAACCTCCTTAATGATTCAACTTAACAAAATTCACTGGCAGGTTTAGCTTTAAATCCGTTTTCTTTTTACAAAACGGCTGCTTTCAGTGATAAGTACTAAGAGTAGGTACCTTTTGTACTTAATATTGAATGAATGGTATGTTTAGTGAAAAATGACATACAGTGCGACACAAAAAAGTTATGGTTATTTAAATCCAGATATAGAACTGTATGTGACGCCCTTTAACATTAAACTAACAATAAGTACCTATTTGAGTTTCTCACCATCGATAGTATCCGAATTTCGTCAAAGTGCCTTATTATTGAACAAAAATGTAATCAAAATATTATTATATTTTTTTTGGACGCCCTGTATCAAGAACCAAGCCGTTGCGGACTCGTGTTCATATGAATTTTTTTTCTTAAAATTAGTCAAAGATTCACCCTTTAAAGTTTGTACAAGTACATAATAAACACCCTGTATTTATAAAATAACGTCGGTAAATAGAATATTTACTATTCTTGAACAGTTAAAGAGTCCGTATATTTTGAAAAACATGCACCTGGCATGTATTGATGTCAGATATTTTCTTTACTGATTTATACACACGTTTTTTCCTAATATCACACAGAAACTTAACAATGAAAACACATAAACACATCGTACCGTTAATTAACATAAGTAAGTAGCTTATTAATAAGTAGAGTTCGGCGTTTTCGTCGGCTAGTCATAGGCGTGTCATCGAAAACAAATAAATAAACATGTAGGTATAAATAAAAATAGATAAATTTGCATACTTTATCAGAGAAAGGTCGTTTTTACCCCTTCGCACGTTCGGCATTATAATCACTTGTACACGAAGCAAGCTCGAAGCCATTAACTGCCGTTATTACCGATATCGTACGATGCGCTGTAGCGAAAGGCCGACGGGACGGCTTTCATCATCCGACCGAGTCCCGAACTTTATTAATAAGGTTATTCACTTAAACTACATAAAACACTTTCCTTACTACCGGTTTAAATTATACTATAAAATATAACTTAATGAAACACTGCACTATAGAAATCCTGTTGCAATTTTAGTAAAAACATACATCACATATTAAAAATTATCACTCTAAACATAGTGCTTTAATAAAATAGTAACATAAAACAGCAAAAATAAATATTTTCAAATATAAATTAGTTTCACATATAATTATTAGTATCTAGTGTATGTCCACATACCAATTTTAGCAAAAATATATTTTTTTGAAAACCTATTTTTATTTTAATATTCGGGTGTTTAAATGCAGTTAGGTCGACTATTGATAAAAACAAATAATTTCAGATTAGTTCTCTGAGGAACACGTACCATTACCCCTCAAATATTGATCCCCACTTAAAGTTACACTCTGGATATTACACATGCGTATAATGGTTGGAAACTGTTTCTGACTGCTCTATGACTAATTTAAGATTTCAACGTTACGTGTATTTGCCACCCCACCAAAACCTTTCATTCACCGATACCACCTTTGGCACCTTTAATGCTAATGGAATTCTCTCACTGTAAATGTATTCCACATATCCGAATGACTAATGCAAGTAACGTGCGGTTAAGGGCCCTTTTATTACTTCTAATCTGAATCCAAATTAGAAAATCTCTTGAAGCGAAACCGATATAAATGCAAATCTCCACCTGCGGAACGAACGGTTAGCGAATTTTTCGTCGAAGTTTATTGCTTCCTGGATTAAAGGGTCACTATAAGGATAATTGCATCTGAAACCTATTTAAAAATCTTAATTTTTATGTTCCAGGAGCAATGGTCAGTTGCGCAACACGTTGAACAAAGCACGCACGCTGTGCGACAAGTGGCGGGGCAGCACCGGGGGCGGCATCATAGGCGCCGGCAACAGGTTGTCGCTGGACGGCAGCGCCCTGCCGGGCGACACGTCCCCCCAGAACCACGGCCGCCTGTCCAGGTGGTTCTCCATCAGGAGGGGAAACAACCACCAGTATGACATCGAGAACGCCGACGCTCAGAGGGCGGCACAGGGCAACAAGATGCCCCAGCTACCGGAGGTGAGCGAAAAGTTCTCTAAATATAGATTCAGAGATAAAAATAAACCTCTTAACTGGTACGCAACGTATTGTTACTGCTGTAATGAATGCAATGGCACGGAAAATCACATGCGTAGATATCAGTCATGTTCATTGAGCATTTTCTCCTGGTATATCTTAATTATACCTTATTTACACTATAAATAAGGGTGACAGGAATTTTGTAGATAGTATAAGTTTGACTGATTGTCTACACAGACAGGGTGATTCAGAACTTATCCAAAAAAAAAATGTCCAGGGGACTCTTACAAATACAATTTTGTAAAGAAAAAATCAAAAAGGCCAGTTCGAAAATGATTTAAAAATACACTACTGCATTCTGCACGGCACTGGAAACTGTAAAACTGACCTGGTACAATGCGACCGTCACGGCGCCGGCGATGGTGGCAGTGTTAAAAACGGACAAAAACTTTGGCAAGGAAAGGAATAAATAGAATTTTTGGCACTAACTACTAAACAACTTTTGTAAACACTATGGCAACGACGACTGTAAAATCGGATTTTAATATTCGGAGACGCTGAGGCCACGTGACTCCACGCGTTTTACGATTTACGCTAGAGACTACAGTTGTCCAGCTATGTAATGGTTGAAGGTACTACAATTTCAATAATTTGTTTCTTGGAATAAGTTGTGATTCACCCTGTATATTGTTTATAGCAAGCGTATTATCCACGAAAAGCGCGTAAAAAAATTAGGAAGCGAATATATTTATCATAACCATAAGGCGAAACGTCAGATTAAAACAATACCTAAATAGTTATCTTACAGTATTAAACAATTTGATTTTAACAACGAAAGTCTATAACCGCTCTATATGAATGAATAATTTGTTAAGAATTTGTGTAATTTCGAACAGATTTTTCATAAATTCACATCTAATATAACGCCCGCCTTGAAATATTATTACAAATTCGCTGACATATCCATCATCTCCACAACCAGTTAAGAGGTTTATATGTTTAGTCTGGCTGTGTGTCCCGAAAATACCAAAATGTAGGTTTCAACATTCTATTAGTAAGTTTTTTTCGGTTTGATTTCAATTTATTATTTTTTTTAAATAATATTTTTTTTTTAAGTTTTTTAACTTTATTTTAAAGATATTGGTAATTATTTACCTCAGTTGAAATCACAAAATATCTCCGGCTCCCCTATTTTCTGGAGTACTGATCTCTCATCTGCAGTTATTTTTGTGCGGTCGAATTTAGTTTTCGAAAAATAATATTCAACATTGTAACTTCATACAACTCTTCTATTATCACTTTTTACAACACTATATAGCCACACATGTAACTAAAGATCGAATAATTCTTGGAATATATATTTTCAGAAGTTTAAAGAAAAAATACGTATATGTATTAATTTAATGTACATATGTACTATTTGTCGTCATCTGAAATAAGGTTACTAATTAATCACGTATCGCAAATATATTTCTAGGGGCAGTAAATAGATTTATGTAACTTTTATGTTCATTTGGCCAATAACATACTTTCATAACTTAATCGGAATATAAATGAAATAGGTATTACGTTTGTAAAGTCTATCTATTTAATGATATACTTTTTTTAAAATGTAATATAATATCAGATGAACTTAACCTGACTTAATCTAATCTAACTCTATATACAAATGTATCTATCTACATAGAGATAATAGGTTAGGTCAGTGTTTTTTTATGTTAAATAAGATATAACTTAATTAACCTAATCTTATCTTTATATACAAATTCTTAGAGAATTGTGATTATCGATAGATTAAAAGGCTTAAAATAAGAAGTGGATCTTATTTGTGGAAGGGCGAAATAGGCGCTTTCATTATAGCCATCTTTCTCTATCGCACGTATTTCTATGACTCTCTTTATCGCTCTCACGTAACGACCGATGAACCATGGGGACTTTCCGACCCTGTATCTATTTACCTTGTTGTTTACAAACATAATATCTCAGTCGTTTGCTATGCTAAATTATTAAAGTTTTTTATTGACGAAGTGATTATAAGGGTTAAAAAATTTCTCTTCACCAGATATCATTTTTAATCCGTTTGCTACCCCTAGAAATAAATTTGCTATACTTGGTAAACTTATTTCTAAAGATAACCGTAATCATCTAGATCACGCACGTCGCTTTGAAATAGCACGTGTGGTACGATTTAGCAGTTGATAGAATATCACAAACAAGGAAGGGTTAAAATTAGAATCATGATGTATGACGTCACGTAACGATATGGTGAATTGAACACCAAGGACTAATAATTGATAATAATGCATTAAATAAATACATTCTTCCTTTAATCTTCAAATACATATATGTTTTACGTTTATTTAGGCTACATGGTGCTCTAAATAGTGATAATTGTAATGTATAAAGCATAGGTCTATAATTTCTTTTTTCGAAGACTGGCTTCGATCGCACAAAACTTTAGATTCGTGTTCAGCGCCCTCGAAATTAGGAAAATAGGAAAAGTTTTGTGAGGATTTGGGCATTTTCCGTTATAATGAATGATTGTTATAGTATGAACCCAATTCAAATAAATTATAAATGTTTTACTAAAATTGTTGTATGGGGTGTCCCAAGTCATAGGGTCATCTCTATAGCTCGTTTTTGAATAGTGTTAGTGACAGCACTTGCCATATCATGTTGAATATTAGCAACAAGCAGAATCTGTTTGCAACAACACAATACTTAAATGTTTGGATGCGTATTATTCATTTCTTTCTTTCTCATTATAGCCAGCATTGTAATGAAGCAGTGGCCAAACCTGAATATGACTTTATTAGATGGGAATTAGAATCACTTTAAATTAGCTTAATCTTAATATCTTTAAAGTAAAGTAAAAGTACAAGAGCTAAAAAAAATATATATTTAAAAAAAGGTATGTATATTTAGAGTGTTAACGCTTAAATTATTAGGTGGAAGAGGAGACAGGCTTCCATTTCCCGAATTGCACCCCCTCCCAAAGGCGGCAAGTGCCTCCTAGTTTGCCACCAGCACCCCCAAACTTAACCCCGCAGCAACTTAAAAGGAGGATGATCGTTGCTGCAATTGTACATAGTGAGAATTCATATATCGCCACTCTTCAGAGGCTCGTAAATGTAAGTTAATAAAATTTAGCTCAGTTTGCACAATTTTTATTACGATGCCACAACTGTTTTGTTTGTAACCACTTGCGGTGGTATTAAAATTTTGAGTTTAATTTCACCAATTCATTTTGTAGCATTATTTTCATAAAATAAAAGTTTAATAAATGAATGAATGTATGTGAGGGAATAACTTTGACCACATTTTTCACAGGACTACAAAAAACCACTCGAAGAGAGCAGTCCGCCAGTGCTCAGCGGTTCAAAAATCTCCACCCTCTTCCACAGACTACCAGAGATACTACAGTGCCATACTTTGTTCAGGATAGCTTTAGCGGAATGTATAAGGAATTGGGATCGAGATGAGAGGATAGGGGACGTTTTTGTAGCGTCATTCTCAAAGGCTATTGTGCTGGACATTTACAGTGGTTTTATCAACAACTTTTCCGTTGCTATGGACTTAGCAAAAATGGAAGCAAAACGAAAATCTGCACTGGCAGATTTTTTGAAGGTAAATATTAATAATTCAATTTTATTATGATAATATTCTGTGTTATCAATTTTAGGTGAAGCAGATCAGTTCACATGATCGGTTATCATTTTTTGGACTAATGGTAAAACCAGTGCAGAGATTTCCACAGTTCATATTATTTCTACAGGTAATATTGCAGAATATTTTTAGTTTGCATTTCTTGAAATCTTCCGGTTTGTAGGATCTCTTAAAACATACTCCGCATGGCCATCATGATAGGATGTCCCTTCAGTTGGCCCTTACCCAACTCGAATCTTTAGCAGAAATGCTAAACGAGAGAAAAAGAGAGGCTGAACAGTATCAAGCATTCAAAGAAATGTTGCGTAACATTAGCGGAAAATTCTCCGCCAGGCCGCTTTCCGACAGCAACAGGTACTTGCTTAGGGAGGACAATGTATTGCAATTGGTAAGAGTTTAACACATTTTTTATCCTATTTTATATAAAAAAAGTAAAGCTGTGTTTATATTTATATAGTTAAAAAATATGTATGCCTAACAAATCTGTTTATTTTTATAGGAATACAGCCAAAATGGCATGGTAACAAAAGCAAAAAGCCGAAGACTGCTTCTTCTGAACGATTTAGTTGTTTGCGTGTCAGTTGCCGCTAAATCTTCAGACGATTTCGGCGCGAGCGAAAGGTTGAGTTTGAAGTGGACTCATCCTGTTTCTGAAATCGAAATCCAAGATACAAGCACCTCTCCTACACTCAGTCGAATTTTGACCTCGAATCAACCCAAAGGAGGCAGCATCAAATCTAATGGTTCTTTTGAAGGCAACCAACCTCAAGACGCTAACAATTTGTGCACGGAAATGAGCAATTTGATGCACGATTATGAGGTCATGAGCAGAATAAACGACCTCACCGGCCAGTTGAAGGGCACTTACAAGGAGATTAACGTGGAAAATACCAGGAAGATCCTCCAACAAATCCAGAGCTCTATCCAACAAAAAGACGAAGAGATGGCTTGGGTGGACTCGTGTTGTCTGCAATTAGTCGTCAAAACCAAGGGCAAAGAAGAAACGTACACCTTCCAAACTGACAATCCATCCATAAAGAGAGAATGGATAACGGAGTTGAGATTGGCACAATTAGCTCTGGACCCTAACAATTCGCCGGCGTGGGAAGTACCTGAGCAGGAGCAGAGGCCCTCCACGAAAATGCCGCTTTTCGTCAAGTCGCAGACAGTTTACTCGTCACAGCATCAAACCGAGGTAACTATGTCAATTTTTAAATCAACTTCAAAAATTTATTTTTTGGAAAAATTTCAGGTACGCTGTGGATGTTACTATACTGTAACTTTACCGAAAACAGCAAGGAGGAGGCATCGGACTCAGAACTACTTGTGGATCTGTACCACAGATGGCGCCAGTAGTCACATATCCGTGTTGGCTCAGCACCCACAACAGGCCGGCGTCTTGAAAGATCTGATCTCGTTTTCTTTGGTCGAGACGCAAGTCACCGCCATGGAGTTTGTAAAAGGTTAGTAAAAAACTTTTTTTTCTAGAAGCCTTTAGTTGAGTATTATATATACTATTAAATGTAAAATAGTTTGTTCTTTATGCTCTTTCGATATATTTCAGTTTTCGTAATTCGATATAATGTCATTTACTATTTGAATTGCATTACTTTATGATATCTATTTAAATTAACAGTAAATTCTTTTGCTTTTTGTGGTACATCAGCAAAATTTTCAGGTCGATTAAGAGTCCTATCTATTTCATCTTCAGTGGGTCATGAATTTTTTGCTTATCTTTACTTGCTTTAATAGTCCAATTGCAAATTTTTTATGCAAACTTTTCTAAAATACATATTTTTTTTAACCTAGGAAGTGGTTTTATGTATACTTGTGGTTGAATCTTTAAACTCTAAATCCAAAATTTGATCCTCATGCTGAACAATTAAACTAAAAATGTTTTCATATCATATACAGGGTGATTCAGTACTTATTCAAAAAAAATTTTTTGATGTACAGGCGACTTACAAATACAATTTTGTAAAGAAAATATCAAAAAGGGCAATTTGAAAATGATTTAAAAATACACTTCTATATGGCAGTGGAAACTGGTCCACTGCATGGCAGCAAAGTGTGATAAAAACAGACAAAAATTTGAAAAAATTTCATAAGGAAAGAAATAAATATAATTTTATCAGCAAATTCAACTGCTTTTGCCGCTATTGTTATTAATTAAATTAATTTGTGGTTTTAGATAATAAAATAATTTGACATACCTGATGTTACAGGTCCGTCTTACTCAGAACAAATGTTTGTTTTGCTTCACCATAACACAAATGCTTTACCATAAACAAAAAATGTTGTCTTGCTTCACCATAAATTAAAATGGTATCCATCAACTCCGAGTTGCTATTTTTGACACTAACTACTGAAAAACTATTGTAAACACTATCGCAAAGACAATTGTAAAATCAGACTTCAGTATTCGGAGTCGCTGAGGCTACGTGGCTCTTCAACTCTTATTGCGAATGACGCTAGAGACTACAGTTGTCCAGCTATGTAATGGTTGAAAGTACTACAATTTCAATAATTTCTTTCTCGGAAACTATAAGGATTTTACAAAAATTTTTTTACAATATTGACTCCATTTCTCATGCCCCATCTATTCCCAAATTTGTTTGCATAAATTGGGAATCATGTTGTATATGTGTTCCCCATGATGTTCTCGTACATTAGTGTCCCTGGTCATTTGAACCAGTCTTATGAATTCTTAAGGAAGAAGGAGAATCTGATTAGGGAAGCATTTTACGTATAACCGTGATGCAACCATCGCATTTTGCACATACTCCCCATAAAATAAAATCCATGTCTACTACACTAGTTCATTATTGTAATATGCATAAGCCATTGTAAAAAAAATGGTTTCTCTTTTTCACTTCTATATGTATATAGAATCATGATCTATAGATAGTCTCGCAAAATTAATGATCTTATAAATTTTGAGGTTTTTATAATATTAAAGGAAAATAATCATTTTAATAATCAGGAATTTGTAATATACCCTGAACTTTTGTGAATACTAATATACTGGGTCATTTACACTAAACTAAACATTAATTATTCTTATACGTAAATTACCGGTTTGTTATTACCTACTTCACCTTTTTTGATTCTGTTAATTTCTAACTTTTATTGACTCTTAGTTAGTAACCAAATTAAGCCAAGTAATCACTGAACCAACCAATTTATTTTTGGTATGTTTACTTTAGGTTCTAATCTGCCCTGCCCCAATCTGGCGACAGACATGGTGTGGGTGGGCACCGACCGGCACAGATTGTTGCTCTACGCTGCCGACGAGCCTGAGAAACAGGAGGAAATAGCAAATGCCAATGTCCCTGATGTTGTAACGCAAATCAAATACCACTGTGATAATGTATTCGTAGCCCTGGCTAATGGCAACTTGTGTGTATATAGGAAGAATCCCATAGACGGCACCTGGCTGCTCCAGGACCCGCAGATCTTAAGTTTAGGGACCGATGCGGTCTCCTGCCTCTTGCCCATAAACTTGTGTATATATGCTGCTTGCGGGAAGAAAGTCTGGGTGCTAAACGGATTGACCGGAGAGATACAGAAGAATTTTACCATACAGCACGAACACGTCGGCAATGTGAACTTGATGGCGCACAGTGGCATTGGGCTGTGGATTTCCCAGAAAAATTCCAGCACGATTTGCCTCTACCACACCGAGACGTTCAAACACCTGCAGGACATCAACATAGCGTCGATTGTCATGAGGGTTAACGGAACTACAGGTAAAATATTTTGTAAAATATACTTTTTCTAAAATAAGAAAAGATACATACGTGATATATAATTTGTCATACATGATTCTGGTTGCCTAACATAGAACTGCAAGCCATTTCTTTTGCCTGCTTAGCGCTCTGTTGTCATATCACATCAGACGGATTGACATAGTTCACCTAAACTAGGTCAATGTCAGAGATCATTGACATAGATTCACAAACTAAACACAGTGCTTTAAGAAAATAGTAGATGTTTAGGCCTTTTAATACATTCATTCAAATTTTAAATAGGTGCCTTTCTTGAGAAAAGAAACTAGCTAGTTGTATGAACAACTTGTAATGTATAGAATAGAGAGTAAGTCGAGCAAATTGCCAACCGAGAAAGTAATTTTCATCTTAATTTAAAAATCTATCAGAAGCTTTGGTTATCTGTGATAATGATCTTAGTTCATCGAAACAATTTTCGAATTTTCAGGTCCCAGAGACTCCGTCAACAACAACAGGCCACTGGTACTTGTCACGGCACTTCTGGCTTGTAAAGGCCTGCTATGGGTAGGCACCAATGTCGGCAGAGTCCTAACGATCCCTCTGCCTCGGTTAGAAGGCGTTCCCATCATCAGCGGGAGAGTTAATGTCTCTTATCATGCTCATTTCGGACCAATTTCGTTCCTGTTGGCACTCCAACCAAAGAATTACAGTAACAGCTCTCTGAAGGCGTCGTTTAAGGAGAGTAAAGAGGAAGCAAAAGCAGAAACTGAGAGTTTGGACAACAGTTTCGTCGAAAAGTCTGAAGAAAGTAGTCCCCGGCCTAAGATGGAGAAGCAGCTATCGGACAGTTCTATGCAAAGTATGTCGGCAAAGCTAAAATACTTGGCCAGTAGTCCAGTGGTTTTGAGGAGGAGGAGGTCCAAAGAGAATGACATGGCCCGAATGTCAAAGACACTGCCAAGAGGTAGGTGATACAAAATCATATGTTTATAAAGTTTTTCAATCATTGATATTAGAGTGAATTAATATGTAAAATTTTTTAGAGGGCAGATTTGTTAATTAAAAGGGTTCTATAGCAAATAGGCAACAGGCAATACATTTTTATAGATTTCACACATTTGTCTAAATATGAATTATTACACAAATAAAGGACTTTCCTCCATTCTAACACGTTTTCTATAAAATGGAGTTAGTTTGAAAGGTAAAATTTTTTATTTGTTGTAAAGAAATTTGTATTTTGCCGCATTTGAACAAGCGCATTGTAAATTACAAATTTCTTTACACCAAAAAGTAATTTGTGTTTCAAACTAAGTCCAGTTTATAAAAAATCTGCTTTAAAATGGGGGAAAGTCTGTTATTTGTGCATTAATTCATATTTAGACAAATTGTGTAATAAAATCTATAAAAATGTATAGCTGGTTGGCTTTTTGCTATAGAGCCCTCTTAACATATGAAAATGAAAATTATTAGCCAGGTGTAACCACCGTCAATTTTAAGAGTTCACATCTTAGGTGCAAAAGTCATTTACAAAATATTTTTTTTATTATTTAACTTTTGTATCAATTTGTTCCTTTTTATACAGGGTTATCCAAAAGTCCCGGTACGGCAGAAAAACAAATGCATTTTGGGAAAAAATGTTTCAGACAAAAGTATAAGGATTTTTCCCTGGCTATCTGATGGTGACCTTGGATTTGAACTTGACTTTGTTCTTCAAGGTCATTTGAAGGTCTAGCCCAGTTTTTTAAATGGAAACCTCTATTTTTTATTGCGGATTTCGAAAGAGAAGGAAATTTTACATCCAAAATTGGTCTTGACAATGACTGATAATGACTTTCAAGGTCATTCTAAGGTCAAAATTGTTTTTTCATTAGTAACCCCTATTTTTTATTACGGATTTGGAAAGAGTTGAAATGTAACCTTCAAGTACGACCATGACTACTATGACTTTGATAATGACCCTCAAGATCATGTCAAAGTTAGGTTAATTTGTTTACATTAATTATTATTTTTTTGATAAGTTAGGAAGAACGGAAAAACAAATGTACGAATATGACCACAATCCAAGTCTTGGCCTTGAACCAGTATTTGAAGGTCATTTAAAAAAAAAAATTTTTTAATTTTCAGTCACTGTGGGGTAGCTAGCGATCCCAGTCATTTAAGGCAAGGAGATAGCCCGGACAGTTAAGGCAAGGCTAAAGATCCCGGACAGTTAAGACAAGGCTTACAACCTGTGGTCAAAATCTCTATCAACATTTTGGCAGATTCCTAGACAGACATAAGAATTTTCAATTGACTATTTTTTGTTTTAGATCTTCTAAATTTCGTGGTTTAGGAGCGTACACTTTATTTTTTATGTACTCCCAAAGAAAAAATTCAAGTGGACACAGATTAGGGGACTTAACTGGCCCCCCTCCGACCTATCCAACGATTATTAAATATTACATCTAGGTAGTTTCTCTCAGTTGCCCGAAAATGAGCAGGTACAAGGTGCACCTTAATTGGACGGGTATACACACCACTTTGTCTTAATTGGTTGGGTATATACACCACCCTGCCTTAATTGGTCGGGTATATACACCACCTTGCCTTAATTGGTCCGGTATACACACCACCTTGCCTTAATTGGATGGGTATACACACCACCTTGCCTTAGTTGGTCAAGACTAAACGCTACCTTGCGTTAGTTGCTCGGGAGTACTGCCGTACCAGGACTTTTGGAACTCCACCCACATTTGACCTTGAAGGTCATGGTCAAGGAATTGGTCAAGGTCATAGTAACGTAAAATTTTCTCCAATTCTGCAATAAAAAATTGGGGTTCCCATTTAAAAAACTTAACTAGACCTTCAAATGACCTTGAAGGTCAAAGTCAAGGTCAAATCCAAGGTCACCGTCAGATAGCCAGAGAAAAATCCTTCCACTTTTGTCTGGACCATTTTTTTTCAAAAAGGGACCCTGTATATATATTTTAATACGTTTTTATATTTTTCCATTGGTAATTTCTGTATAATGTTTTTTGTTCTAATTAAAGTCGCAGAAAATTTGCCTTTTCCATTTTGCTGATGTTACAATTGTTTATAGGTCTCGGCAACGGGGGCTCCATCTTCTCAACTTCGAGCACCTCCTCTCAAAGCTCGGGAGACACCAACAACGTCTACGGCCTATACAGCGACTTGATGTACGTAAAAGACTACGAACGCGAGGATAACATCCTCACAGATCCGGTCTACGAGTCGCTCAGGAGGAGCGATCCCGAACTGGCCGCCATCCCCAACAAAGTCAGCACCCTGGATAGAAGACTGAAAATGAAGGTATCGCGACCGCGCTCCCTCGACCTATCCAATTGGTCGGTAGACTCTCGATCGTCGAGCTTGTGTACCTCCTCGGGTTCGGAAGAGAGCATGGCCATGCGGTTGAACAACCTGGGGAGGAGCGTCTCCCGGAATAACTCCAACGCCTCGAGGCAACTAAATGGCGTATGTGAAAATAGTGCTAGTACCGTCTTAGAAAAAGAAACGTCTGTAGCGGAGAAATCCGCTGTGGTTGTAAATAAACCAACGAACACAAAGACTTTGAGTAAGAGCAAGAGTAGTGCTTTTGATAATGCGCGGAGGACTGTCATAACGTTGATGGGTGGACGGGGCTATGTGAATTGCAGGCAACCGTGCTGCCTGGCGGACAGAAGCAAGCATGTGTTCACTGGAAAGGATACTAATAGTAATGACGCTCATATCGTTATATGGGAACTTAAATTGTGATTTGGTAATTATTGTGAAAAACTATTTAGTAACTTGCGCGCTTTCAATTTTGCCAGTTGTACAAAGAGATGATTTTTAAATTCTAGAAATGGGACGTGTTGGAATAGTGTGTACAAGTTACTACTTAGCATTTTTTTAATTAAAGAAAACGCACCTTTCGCCTTAAAGTGTAATACAATCGGATTTTCAAGTTTCAAGAAATTGTTGGAAACACAAGAAAAATATGTTGTACGATTTAAAGTTCATTGAAAACGTAATTTTGTTAAAATTGTAGTTTAAAATGATAAAATTTTCCGTTTGCATTGCACTTCGCGGCAGATGTTGTATGTGTATCTTAAATAGCGTAATATAAAATAAATGTCATATTTTTATGGACTCCTTTAATTTATAAGAAATTTTTAAGTTTATATTTTTTAATTTATTTGTTGTCGAACCATGTTTTAATTTATTTAAAGTGTCGTCCCCGGCGCATAGACCCCATACACACACATACACACAAACAATATTTTCTATTAGGGACTGTATATTTTATAATGATGTGTTCTGTTATTTTTTTATGATAGTTGCATGTTTAACTATAATAAATTTATTACTGTTCACTGTGTTATATCAGAGCATCTATTAAAATAAAGCCTGAAAAGACGCCCGTTGTTTTAATGTTACCACAATAAAAATACCACATATAAACGGGATTCGTTTTGTAAAAAATTCTAACTGTTTAATTAAGTAACATATATTATTTTTCTACATATTCCCCGCCTTAGAAATACATTTTTCCCCATCGGATTGAGAGCTTTTTTATTCCATCATTGTAGAAACTCTTCAGACATTGTTGTAGCCATTGGAACACAAATGCTTCCACTGCGTCGTTGTCGTCGAAACGTTGGCCTCCAAGTGCTTCTTTGAGGGTCCAAAAAGATGGAAATCGCAAGGATACAAGTCGGGACCATATGGCGGATGTTCCAGCGTTTCCCAGCCTAATGCATCCAGTTTTTGCCTTGAGGCATTGGCCGCATGAGGCCTGGCGTTGTGCAAAAGAATGACACTTCTTACCGATTGCTTCTTCCTTTTCCTTCAAAATGACAACTTGGCGCCATCCAGTAATTCACAATAATATTGTGCATTAATCGTGCGTCGATCATGGAGAAAGTCAACGTGAAAAGCACCTTGCCGATCAAAAAATTCACCTTTCCGGCTGACGAGCACGTCTTTGCCTTCCGCGGTCCCCTCTCGTCACTTTATCTCCACTCCATACTTGCCTGCTTCGACTCGGGCGTGTAGTAGTGCACCCCCTCCTTAGCCAAAAACTATAATCCGTTGCTCCACGGAGACATGCACTTCTGTCTTGCTCATCGTTTCTTTGCATACTAAAGGGACTCGAGCGAATTGCGGTCGGTTCTCTCCATTCGCTAACGGTACAGTCTATCTGAGCATCAACTCCTTGAAGGTCAAGGACCCCTTCGTAATTTAAAAAAAAAATCAGTCGTTTATATTTGATATATATACTTGAGAATCATGTGATGTCGATAAAAATTATTTTAAGAAATGGGAAACTATCATTTAATAAATCATTTAAAGTGGTAATAAAACAAATTATTTTAAACGAAAAGTTTCATATGAATGTGGGTCGTAGTTCGCCTCGCTTTCGAGATATACATTGACGAAATTAGAAAAGAAATAGTCACGTTTTTTAAAATATCTGATGATGTTTGATATGGACTGATGAAACTTGTGCCACTGATTTATTTAAGTAAATCCAACAAAGTTAACTTACAAATATGGCAACCAATTGATGAACACAGTCTGGCTATTATGTTTTAAGACTGATTTTATTGTGGTGCAGTCAACAGAACTTCATAGTGAGAAGCCTCCCGAGAGACCAAACAAAATTTTCTCAGTATACGCCAGCGGTATTCAAACTGTGTTCTTCGGAACCCTGGAGTTCCGCACAACCCCTCTGGGGGTTGCGCGACTCAAACATTTTAAATTTTATTATCGATAATTGCAAAATTCAAAAAAATGTATACTCTTAAAACTTTTTATTTTTATAAGTATACACGTATAAGTTACTATAAGAGCTTTATCTATTCATGCAAGTGCATGTAAGTTGGCTTATACTGATAAGCTGGCGCAGCGTTCTTCGCGTTGGTTACGTCGCCTTTCCCTTGATTTTTGGCTACAGATTTATATGGAATACCCTGAAATTGCTGACCAGTCAATAAATGTATTAATGCCTTTTGCAATTACGTACCTGTGCGAAAAATCATTTTCCACCTACGTAGCGACAAAAACAAAGTATCGCAATGCGCTTAATGCAGAATTTGAAATGTGATTGCTGCTTAGTATAGTAGCACATTATTTTAACATATGTAAACATATTTAAGCACATCCCAGTCTTTGATTATATTTACTCTTTAATTACTCAATAAATATTTACTTTAAACTTTAAAGTCTTACTTAAATTTTTACTTAATGGAATATTTATTTTGTTAATCGTAGTATTTATAAATATATTAAATAATCAGTAAAAAATGTGTTAGAAAATTTTTTTTAGGTGTGGTGGTTTCTCAAAAAAATCGAAATGTTGGTGGGGTTCCGCAAGTCGTAAAACTTTGAAGACCTTTGGTATTTACCACAAAGTTATAAAGTTTTGCGTGAAGCGCATTTTGCTAAATTGATTTGAAATTCTGGTATAAAGCCGGTAAATCAGCCATGACCAGTGAGAGCTTGATAAAATTATAAAAATCATATTTTTTAGGAAATGATTTCTAGGCCCATATGGAGAATTTTTGTGACAAAAAAAAGTTTTGAATGAAATTGTGAAATAAAATAAGGGTCGCCGACTTTAGGATCTCGAAAAGAGTTGCAAGTATTATCGTACAATATTTTTTTCACAATCTACTGATAGCTACAAACAGTTATAGCATTATGAAGTTTGGAAAACAGAATGCTAATATTAAATTAAAATTTAATATAAAGAAAAATTTATTTTACGAGAAATAAAAAACCTGTTTATATCTATTAGTTGATTATGAAAAAAAAAATATTTTGTAGAAAGATATGCAATCCTTTCCCATATCCAAGCCCTGGATTAGAGGGGGGTGTGGGCCTCAGAAAGTTTTGGCAAAATGAAATCAAAACGTGTTAACCTTATCATCAAATCAAATCAAGCATCTACATATTGTACACATCTATTTTATTATTTGTATTATTATTGTAAATATCCAAGTATGGCAACCTTATATACAGCGTTGCTGTATTCAGGGTAGCCTATATACTACCCAGCTTGCCCACGCACAAAATTGACCCATTAATTTGTCCACTATTCTTGTATGCAGGTATAGTCGAAGTCGAAGTTGAGTTGGCAGCACCGTAAGCCATTAGTTGGTGTAATTCATTTTCTGACATTTTGGTCCAGTTCCAGCATCTCTTTAATTATAATCCCAAACAAACATGGACTCTGTGCATTTCTAGTGCAAGTGCGTAGACCTCAGTGACAAATTTTATTGTGGTGTCCTTTATCAGTGTTATCTGCTAGTGTTATCTTTTATCGATTGGCCATGTCCTACTATAACGGGTGAGTAAAACATAAACATGTGTTGGTAAAAGCCCGTTGTTTAAAAACAATGAGAATCTGACATTTCCATTTAAAGATACGAGTTTTTTGAGACAGCTCGAAATGCGTTGACCTCCTTTTTTATTTATCAATTTCCTATTTAATGTGTGAGACATTGCGTTTATTTTTCGCACACTGTGTGTGGATTCGGGATTGTTTACCTATGTTTGATTATATTTCTGGATTTATCAAATAATAGAAAATGGATCAATAGTTCGTGCACACTCTGTAACGAACTGTATGACAATGAAGCGTCCTTTTAAACAATACGGTTGCAGGTGTTTGTTTCATGTTTAATTTAACGTCCTTATTTAGATAAATTATTGTATGTTGGACAGCAGGCGAAAAATATATTTACATTTATAATATGTGTAAAATAACACACTTTAATTTAATTTATGCATGTACCTGTTAATTTCCGTCTTGTCACATCGTTTCTATTCTATTTACATATGTGGGCATTTCAATATAGTACCATGACTCATATTCCTATAATTTAGGTATAAAACATTTTCGAAGAAATCTCACAAATTTTGTAATAAAATTATAGGAACGTGTAGCTTGTTCCAAAATATCGTGAATTGTTTTTTTAACTACATTTGATTTTTTTCTGGTTTAGTTATCAAATGGTTTAAAAATATGGCTTACTTTATACATATTTCCTTTGCTAGACATGTTAAATACCCACGTCCCACGTATATTAATTTCTACTCAATCTAAAAATGGAAACATGGGCAAATTCTACACTATAAATAATATGAAATGCTCTTGGTAACACTGGAAAGCTTCGACACTTTTTAGGAAATTGTTGATTAATACCAGAGCATTGCCCTCGCTTTGGCTCGATGGAAACTCGTGAGCGCCGTGTCATTTTTATATACCTACCTATTTAAATATGAAGTTTGAATCAAATTAAATACACTACTCACAAATATTAAAGGATAAAAAAATTTCAAATTTTTAGGTGATTCTCAAAAGACAACTTTGGGAAAAATTGGTCCTAGAACAATAAAAAAGCAAATTGAAGCTTGATGTTGCTAGTTGCAGTATCTGAAAGCCAAATTTTTTTTATTGTTGACGACCTTTAAGAAAGTATAAGAAATCTTGAACAATTAATTTGATTTTGATTCGTCCTTTTTAATTTGTGCTGATCGATTATTTGTCGCTGAATTATTTCCGTTCAAAGCAAAAATTACCTTTTTGGCTTTAATAATTACTCGGAAACTAATGATCGTACAGAAAATCTAAGCAGAGTTTTGAAAACTTCAAAGTATTCACGTTCTTATCGTTTTTTGATAAAAAAATCTTTTGATGCATAAAACTTGATTAAAAAAAGGTCAAACATCGCGTATTTAAGCATTGTCGCTAAGCTCGGGATAATTTTACAAACAATGAATAGACTAAGGATATTTTTGGTTTTGTTTTAACCTCAAAATATCCCAAAGAAACCCTCAAGAGTTCTTTCATTGTGATCTGAATGATTCAAATTATCCTTTAATTTTTGTGACTAGTTTATATCATGTAGACAAACAATATTTCTAATATAAACATTTATTGATTTAAGTAGGTACCTACTTACCTACTTATGCTAAAATTATGAAAGCCCGTTATATTCAGTAAAATATGAAACATCAAAAAGTTATTATCCGAATAAATGTAATCGAAATCGGTTGGGGGAAGGAATCAAGTTCTTTCATAATAATATATCCTCGGTTTCTTGAAGGCGCTATATGGCAGGACCTGTGACCAGGTTGTCTGCGCCCACTTGGCGTGTGAAAGTACTATAAGGGCTTGATGGGGCCTAGAGACTAGAGGAAACCCGTTCCCTCGGTTATATTAAAACAGCAGGTGCGTGTCCGGACAATGTAGGGCCTCGGTGGTAGTAAACAGGGTCGGAAAGTACCGATGGTCCATCTGCCGTTTGTGGAAGGGCGAAACGGGCGGCGACTATGAGACGCCTTCATTATAGCCATCCTTCTCTATCGCATGGATTTCTATGTCTTACTTTATCGCTCTCACGTAACGGCAAATGGACCATCGGTACTTTCCAAACCTGAATATGTCTCATTTCGTTAATAGCCTTTGAAAGTCATTTGTCGCAAACGGTTTCTTTAATATTCATTTCACATCCATTTCATGCCGTCGATTGTTTTATTAGTGGTAATAGTCGTACATTTACATCGACAATTTTGTAATGTATTATGTCGCTACTTTGGCAGTGCCAACAACAGCCGATAGTAGCGCTGAAAGAGTGGAAAGCACTCCATTATTTTTCTTTGGAATGATACATTCAACAATAATGGCTTTTAACTAGTGATATTGTGTGAAACAACTACTCTGCAGACTAATGCCCCGACCAAAATTGAATTACATCCGCAATATTTAGTAAACAACAGATCATTTTTCAGCAGAACTACCACTAGACATATACCGGTTTCGAATTTATTAACCATGGATGAAATACTTTCAGAACTTACTTGGAACTATCCCCGAGACTCCAGCCGAGACTTTTCTCCTGAATTTCCATCATAGAATCTACTTGTGATGTTTGACCGATTAAAACACGCCCTGTATACGTGTTTATTCTAATTTTCTAAGGAAAGTAAGGTTTCAAATTTAGAATTTTAGTTTTATTAAAATTTTTTATAATAATAATTAATTACCTATAATATTTTCGAGAATATTTTAGTAAAATAAAATAAATGGTCAAAATTTCCGGAAAATTAGTGGCCACAAAAAAGTGTTTCAGATCTCAGAAAAATTGATAGAAAAAGCCTAAAAAAAAAGAAAAGAATTGAACTTTTGTTACAATTTCGGATAAAAAACATTCTAGTCTCTATATTTGCCATTAAATTTGTAGGTAATATCAAAAAAAACCTTTAGAAATTATTCTAATAAAAAAATCATCAAACTATTTCTACTTTTAGAAAAGACTGATAAAGGTTCTTAATATGTTCAGAATGATCAAAACCAACTGTATTCTAAATTCTGACTAAAAAATACCTAGCATTGTAGGTAGATTTGAAAAATTTTCCAGTTTACGAGAAAAGGAGAATATAACATTATTTTAATAAAGTAAAGTTTAAAATACCGGTTCTGAAAAATATGAGGAATTTTTGGTTAAATTTTGATGGCAGGTATTAATTCCGTATAGAAATAAAATCAACATATTAAAAATCCAAATCATTTTTATTTTTGACTTTTTTGTAATAGGTAAAAATAAAGTTTATTACACTATTTTTTTTGATCAAATTATTAAGAACTTTATTATGGGAAGAAAATATTAACTCCATTTGAAATCGAATTTTGTTAAAGTAAGTTATTTTCATATTTTCTGGTATTTTTATTTTGAATTTCTTTTTTCCACCTTTTTTTCGAAAAACAAAGAACGATACAAGCTTTTGCCAGTTTTTCGTTTTTTCTCAATTGTTAAATCTCTATGCATGATATACAAGAACGTTTATTTTAAATTTATTTCATTAATTTTATATTTACTACCCAAGTAAAATTTTAATTTTTGAGAGACTTAGTTCTAATTGTTTAATGAGGTAAATGAAATGCACTCTAGTTCCTTCATACCATATTTAGAGCATTTTGTGGAATTAAATCGTGTCAGAATAACGTAGGAAGCTTTCATAACTATCTTAGGTAACATCTACGCTGACGACATCTAGCCTAATTTATTACCTGAGTGCAGAAAGCTCATTAGTCCGGGATTTATGCCGGTGTGTACACTCCGTGACAAAGAAATGATCCTTGTTACGTCCGACGCCCGACTTTACCTGGGTCACTGAAAAATAGAGATGAAGTCTCATTCCGAAATATTTATGGAAATTAGAAGATTGTATTGTTGCAAAGTATACCCCAGTGTCTCACGTAAAGTAAAATACAGTGATGTAAAATGACTGTCATTTAAGATCGTGACGGTCATAGCCGTCATGACCAGGTCATGATCGTCATTATACGTCATAAATAGTTTCAGTTAGAAAATATGATAGCACTTAAATGTAAATAGTTTTTATCCCCTCGCTATGTAAAATCCCCTCGCTATGCAAAATAAAAGTCATTTTTCTAAAATATAAATTACTTACTGAATCCTAATATTGCCTTAATAAATTCCACAACAAAACTATATTAATATCAGAAAAGTTTTTAACTATAAAACAAACACAAAAAACAAATGTTCTTTGGCTATATTTAGATTACAAGTTATAAAGTAATAAAACAAAAAATTATTACCATTGGTTAAGTTTTAAAGACACCACGTCACCAGGTGGAACATAAACCTACTTCTTACCGCATTGACAGTTAATATTTAATACATATTAATTTAATATTATCATTAATAAAATCATTTAAATATTTAAGAAACAAAAACTGCCATAACGCGGTCATTTTCTATGTGACGCGACGGTCATGACAGGTCACCACATCGGTCATGCGCTGGTCACATGACCCACTTACATCACTGGTAAAATATAAATGTTTTAATTTTATTAAGAATGATTTAGCAGTACTTTCCTTGAGATTGGTCCAGACTATTGGCTAGATGTCGGTTCGATATGTCTTGTTTCTATAGTAGGATCGTATTCGATGCAAAGTAGAGCAAAAAGTTGTCGGTCTTTTATCAAAGAAAAATCGTGTCATCATTTTTAGGACGCGTAAGATGGACCATTTCAATCATTTCAAATTTAAAATGAAATTGAATGTAAAATCTGAAATACCGCTGCATACGCACTGTGTTCTGGTAGTAGCTGTAGTCGCCCAGGTGCATCGACTGTATGATGTGGTCGGTTATACGTCAAATGCTAACCTGGCGAGCTTGTTCGTCAATTAGAGAGCGCCTCCAGAAAACAAGTAAACAACAGTGGCGCGTACAGAGGTAAAATGTAGTACATATGTGGAATTTAAAAAACAAATTGGATTTATAATAAATTACATTTAAAATAAATAGATTATGA